ACACAGAGAAAAAAAGAACATGAAGTTGGGTGGGTAGGGAGTTGAGGAAGATCTGTGAGAACTTGGGGGAGGGAAAAGACTTATGAAAATATATTCTGTAAAATTTTTTCAATTAAAAGTTAATTTTTTTGTTTTTGAGATAAGATTTCTCTGTGTACCTTGACTGTCTGGGAACTCACCCTGTAGACTAGGCTAGCTTCAAACTCACAGAGATCTGTGGGAGTCCAGCTCCCACCTTTTGAAGTGTTCTTAGGAGGAGGAGAGAGGGATAAGAAAACATTAGATAGAGAGACCTAGACAATGAGAAGAAAAACAGAAACACAGAATAGCTTTGGGAGGGCCTGAATCACTACCCAGTAGCCCCTTCTATTTATTCAAAAGGGCTTTTTATAACAATTCCAAGGGGCAAAGCAAAAAACTTCCCCCTTGCAAGATCAAAGCAGGATGAACAGCCAAGTGTAGACCCTTCCAAACACCTAATAACCATGCCCATGGTCAAATCATCCCCTTATGCAGCCCTGCTGGGTAAAGCAAGCTCAGATTCTTTAATCTTGACTAAGTTCTCACTAGGAAACCTCTGTAGGCTCCCACAGAGATCTACCTGCCTCTGCCTCCAAAGTGCTGGGATTAAAGGTATGTGCCACCACCGCCCAGCAAAAATTGACTAATTTTTTAATAAAAGATTACATTTGAGGGATGTAGAGATAGCTCAATGGTTAATAGGACTTGTTGCTCTAGAAGAAAAGATGGGTTCAGTTCCTAGCACCCTCAAGATGGCTAAAACCATCTGCAACTCTGTTTCTGGGGATCTAATGCCCTTTAATGGTCTCCACAAGCATGTACACATGTGGTACACAGACATACAAGTAGGCAAAACACTCATACATATAAAATCAATAAATAAATTCTTTTAAAACTATAACATTTGATTGAAAATGGTATTCTAAATAAGTCTCCGTTGGCCTAAGTGAATGATGCATATGGTTTCATATGATTTGTGCATAAGTCAAGATATTTACTTTTATGTCAAACCTTGGTTCCATTTCTTGCACATGACATAACATTGTGACTTACAGGGAATGTGATCTTGATGGCAAGTGCTGAAAATGCTTTTCTGTATTGAATTATATTTAAATACACTCAGTTCTCTGCTTTTCCCAGGGCTTCTCTCTTGAAGAAGGAATACCACAAGAGTATATGAGAAAATTATGATATAGCCAGAAATTAGATCTACATGTTTGGGTTTATATATTCAAAAATACTTGTGATCCAATCTGGTACTAAATATTCCAATTTCCTACTAAGAATAACTAGAATCATTCCAACATTAATTTTGCTCTAATTATCCTTCCAAGTCAAAAATATCCAAGCTTAACTACTGAGCAGTTTCCAATTCTGAAGACGAAGTCAAACTCCTTAGCCTGGTCTGTGTGACACATCACATCCAGCTCCCACAAGCCTTTCCTTCCTTTACCTCTCCCTCACAAAGGCAGCCTGAATTTCTGGCTCGTTTTGCATCCCCAGTCCTGCTGTTCTGGACACCTTTGTCCTTAACCATGCTGTGCTTCAAACAAGAAAGTAGTCAATGCCCTGATCAGCATGAAAGGCCACCTCTTCCTTAAAAGGAGCTTCCTCACACACCAACCACCTTATTTTTGTTTTGTTTTGTTTGTTTGTTTGTTTTGAGACAGAATTTCACTATGTAGTCCCTGCTAATCTGAAGTGCACTATGTAACCCAATGTACCTTCATACTTGTGGCAATACTCCTGCCTCAGCCTCCTGGGTGTGTGGATTATAGGTTTATATATAATTATATATAATCCTTGGATTATGTAAACACCTGGTTCCATCTTCATCATAAGCAGAACTTCAGAGCTGCATTGTTTTCTGTGATTCCAAAAGCCCTTTGTTAATATGTCTACACACACACACACACACACACACACACACACACACACACACACACACAAATACAAACACACATTGTACTTTTAAAATAATGCATCCCATTACATCATGTTCCTTCTCCCTGTACTTTAGACAAAGTCTCAAGCATGGTGGCATATGGCTTCTAGGAAGGTAAAAGCATAAGGATCAGAGATTCAAGGTCATCCTCAGCTACATAAAGTCCAAAGCTTGGGACACAAAAGGTCATGTTTCAAAAGAAATAACATTTATTTTCATAAACCCACTATTTATTTTTACTTTTCTTAAGTAACTATAATTCCCTAAGTAACTTCTTTCACATTTATTCTCTGTTCATGCATAGTATCTGGTACAATGTTCAGACTTGACACTCTTCAACCAATGTTTATTGACCCAAATGGCTTAATATGAAAGACTCTAAAATGTTCTTTATTCATGGCCTGTGATTTGCATGAAGTGAATTTGGTACTATGTATATAACTTCAGTGGAAGAGCAGAGTCAAGGTAAGCAAGCCACACAGAATGCATATATAGCTCACAAGCTGTCCTGTCTTAAGGAGTACTAGCTAGCTCTGTATTAATGTGAAGCCAGGACCTGCTCAGTTCTGGTGACAGTCACCTGGCTATCCCAATAGGGCAGATGGCATTACTGTGGGAGCATGTGCAAAAGAAAGCACTTGCATGGCAAGACAGGAAATAAGAGGAATTCAAAGCATAGTCATATTCTTTTATAACTATGACATCACTAGAACCTCTCTGATGTAAACTTTTTTTGTTACTATTGTTTATCACTGGCAGCATGTTGTTTATTAATTTCTCAACCAGCATCTGGAAAGAAAATATTCTGGATAACTTCATTAAGAATAGCTCTGATAGAGCACAGTTATTACTACATATAATAGAATAGGCACAAAATGTTTTCATTCACAGAGGTATTGTCCTACATCTATATTCTGGAGGATACAATTCATGTCTTGATTCTACTTTTCAGCAGAGGGCCTGAAAGAGGAAACTGTTTTTGAACTCAAGTCTATTAAAGGGTTGAAACTTCCAAAAGTAAGCTGGAGGCATAGCTAAGTCAATAAAATGTTTGACTTGCAGGTATAAGGACCTGAGTTCAACCCACAGAATGCACATAAAGATAGATAGATGATAGATGGATGGATGATTAGATAGATAGATAGATAGATAGATAGATAGATAGATAGATAGATGATAGATAAGATAGATAAGATAGACAGATAGATGATTGATAGATTAAAAGGCTTGATATGGTAGCATGCTTGTAATCTCAGTGTTGGGAAGTGGATGTAGGTGGATCCCTAGGGTTTCCTGGACAGCCAGCCTAGTCTATAAGGTGAGTGTGAGATCAGTAAGAGATTGTCCCTGGTAGAAGGAGGAGGAGGAGCAGGGGGAGCTGAGAAATAAGAACAAATGTTGCATTCTGGCATTCACATGCACACATGAACACACACACACACACACACACACACACACATACACACACACACACACACACACACACACACACACACACACATACACACACACACATACAAACACCATAAAGAGGAAGCTTTCAAAAGAAGATTTAGAATAAACTGTGACTGACAGTAGTTATTTCACAGCTTCTACTCACTCCCCACCCACAGAAGCAGGTGACTTGGCATGTGTTCCCAGAAAAGCTTACAGGCAGCTGTAGAAACCAGGGTGAGCATTAAGATCCTGTAGTGCAAGTACTGAGATCTCTACTTTGACCTCTGATTGCTGCTGCATCCCAGGGAAATGCAGGCACAGAGACAGGTAGCCATTGCTACACCAGCTTCTTCCCACTTACTGTGTGACCCCCGTCCCTAGCCCAAGTGATGCCCAGGGGTTTTCAAGGACCACCCCCTCCCTTTCTAACACTCTGTGAAATCAAACATTAAGGCCAGAGTTTAGGGAAGCATTTTTATAAGTAAAGCAAAAAGTTGCTACTTTTTCTCAGTGAGGAAAAGTACAGATTGGGGAAGGCTTAAGTTGACCTCAAGTTTACACTTCATGTCTATTCTTGATTGTATAGACAGCCCATAACAATAAGAAGCAAGACCAAAGGACACCCTGGAAAGGAAGTTAATCTAATACCCAGAGATACAACATAGATTCAAATGTCTAGTTTTCAACAACAAAGCATCATAGTGCCTACACTGAAACAGGAAAGTGAGACCCATTCCATGGAAGAGAGATCAACAGCCAATCTCTTAGAGAAAGCTACATGGCAGATCTAGACTTTAGAACAACTCTTAAAATTTCAGTGAACTAAAGTGTGACATAAAACAAAGAAAATTATTGTGTCTGAGCAAAATGAAAATATCTACAAGGAGCTTTAATCAGTATTACCACAGTGGGAAGAACAGATGAAGAGGCTTAATCACCCCTCCCTCACCCTGTCTACCTCAAAGGGTGTGTCTTAGGGTTACTATTGCTGTGATAAAACACCATGACCAAAGTAACTTTTTATTTGGCTTACACTTCCACATCACTGTTCATCATTGAAAAAAGCAGAACAAAACTCAAACAGGTCAGAATCCTGGAGACAGGACCTTATACAGAGGCCATGGAGAAATGTTCCTTAACTGGATTGCTCAGCCTGCTTTCTAATAGAACTAAGGAGCAGGGATAGCACCACCCATAATATTATGAGCCCTCCCCCATCAATCACTAATTAAGAAAATGCTATACAGCCTTATCTTATGGATGGATTTTCTCAATTGAAAGAAGTTCCATTCTTTCAAGAAAACTCTAGCTTGTGTCAAGTTGACATAAAACTAGCCATCACAATTGACCCCTCGTCAACTTGACACACAAATACATCACTGTTAAGCCATAATCTTTCCATTCTTGTTCTCTCCTAAGATAAAACATTAATATCTACAATGTAGTGTAAGCATTCCACAGTCTTTAAAAATTCAAACATTTAGAAATGCAGCCTCTTTCAAATAGCCAGTATCTTTTAAAATCTTAAATATTTTAAAACTCAGTCTCTCAACTGTGGGTTCCTGTAAAGTCAAAAGTAAATTAAATACTTTCTCACATACTTACCTGGCAGGGGAGACACCATCATGATCAAGCAGGTGGTTTTCTCAGGGCGAGGCTCACCCATTGCACTTGGGGTATGTTGACCCCTGCGATTTCCCCAAATGGGGGAAACTCGATTGCATAATTTATGGTAGTGGGGGACTGCGTGCGTGCTCTCCCCTGAAAAAGAAAAAAAAAAAAAACACTTTCTCACTTAAAGAAGGAAAAACCAGGACACAGCCACAATCTGAACAGAGCAAACCCAAATTCCGACAGTATAAGTAACTCAATATCTGAAGTCTAGGATTCACTGACAATCTTCTGGGCTTCTGTGAGAGGCTTGGGTCACTTCTCCAGCCGTGCCCTCTTCAACTCCCACTGGTTCCATTCCACTACCGATGCTGTTCTTGGTGGTTATCCCAACAGTACTGGCATCTTCAAAACTTCTGGAGTCCCTTGCTGCAACTGGGCTGCACTTTCACCAGTAGCCTCTCCTGGGCTCTATTCAGGGACTCCATCCCTACCACATATCGCCAAGCCTCAGCTGTTCTCCATGATACCTTCAAGTTGTCAAAACCAGAACCACCTTGGTGACTTACAACACCAAGTTCCCCTGCCAGTATGAGGTACAGTCTTGGCCACTTCTGGAATACAGCTTCTGTGTGCTGATCCAGAGGAAACACTTCCCAAAAGACTTCACCTCAGTGATGCTGGTCTCAATCTCAGCTGATCCTTCAGCCCCAGATTACCAGCATCCATTATCTCAGCTAAGCAAAGGATTTACTTTAGTGGTTCTGGTCTTTGTTAATTGCAGCTGATTCTTCAGCTCCATTTGACCAGACACCACAGATTCTTCACACAAAAGTCCTGGTAGAGTCTTTGCTTCCCTCTGAAACTTCACAAGCCAGGCCTCCATCATCTGCACTGCTTTCAACATCCTTATCTTCCAAGCTCCTGCAAGACAGCTCACAGCACTCTTAACACTTAATGTCTTTTCCAACCCAAAGTTCCAATGTACTTCCACAAAAAAACATGGTCTGTCACTGCAATGCCCCACTATCCAGGTACCTAGTTAGGGTTACTATTTCTGTGATGAAATGTCATAACCAAAGTGACTTGGGGAGGTGGGTATTTAGCTTTCACTTCCATCACTCATCATTTCACTTTCTTCATCATTGAAGAAAGTCAGGACAGGAACTCAAACAAGGCAGGAACCCAGAGTCAGGACCTGATGCAGAGGCCATGGAAGAGAGTTCCTTAACTGACTTGTTCCTCATGGCTTACTTAGCCTGCTTTCTTTTAGAACCCAGTACCACCAACCCATGCACAGCACCAACTACAACTACCTCCCCAGCCATCACTAATTAAGAATATGCCTTATATTCTTTTAGATCTTTTAGAAGCATTTTCCTCAACTGAGGTTCACTCCTTTCAAATAAATCTAGCTTGTGTCAAGTTGACAGCACAAAATGATTTTTATAGAATAGAGAAAGTAGGTAGAGGACTAGGTTTTACACTGTGGTCTATTGAGTCCTCTTGGTCAGGCCAGTGGTCTGACTGATCATTATCCCATTCTGATTCTGTAAGGGGTTCTGGAAAAGTCAGTATCTCTGTGACCACTTCAATGGAACATTTCCATGAGATGGTGGCCCCCATTCCTATCTTAGGTTATGGTCCTCAGTAGTATAGTAATCTGTCTTTGGGGGTTCACCATTCTTGGAAGTAGTTTTGACCTCCTACCATTGTTGTGTAATACTATTCCTTGGGAGACATGAACAAACATCTACTTACCTCAGATAGGCAACTGATGACAGAGCAAAGTAGGAATACCACCAAAGTTCAACTTGGTGAACCAATGAGTTTTATTGGTGTTATTTAGCAGAATGTGGGTGAGGGGTTATTTAAAGGAGCAGAAATGACCCAGACTCTAGCATTATAAAAAGCCCACTCCAACGTAAGTGACACCCTGGGGCATACTAAACAACTTGCAGGCTCTTCAACAGGTTGGATAGTGTAGTGTCTCTTTCAGGTAACTCAGGTGCTCTGAGTCTCTTCTGGTAGCTCAGTTGATCTCTTCTTTTATGTGGCTTTTGAACTCTGCTTCTGACAGGCAACTTAACTGCTCTGAGCCTCTTCTAAACAGCTCAGATGGTCTGAGAGTGTCTCTCAGCTGTCCTTATAGCTTAAATAGGCTTGAGGAAGGAGGAGCCTAGTGAATATGTTCAGTTTCAGGGACTTCCTGAAATCTTTAAGTTGATTACTTCCTAAACTTAAGATACTTCTTTATAAGGATGGGATGTTTCACCTTCTCTTAGAACATTCTGTTGCTTTACCCCCTTTCTAACTTCCTGTGTCTCAATGAGCTTCCTTCCAAAACAGAAGCTTTAATCTTGGCAGGAACTGCTCTAGAACAACCATCAAGATGCTTATGGCTAGGTACTGTCATAGAATCCAAAATATCTCAAGAAAAGCGTGACTCAGGAGAGGGCGGTGGAGTGCAAAGAGGCAGAACAGACAGCAAAGAACAAAATAGAGGGCTTGGGCCTTCGATCGGTTGTCTCCTCTCAGAAAACGCTGCCCAGTGTGTTAAAGGACAGAAGGGAGGAGACAGAAATTATCATCTGGGAAACTGAAAGAAAACATATTAAGTAAAAGTGAAAAGAGTACAGTGGCATACATGATATATTAAGTGCGACTTTTGGAAGACAAGAAGAACAAAGATGCAGAAAAAATATTTGAAAGAAAAAAGTCTAAACTTCAGAGCAGATGGTGTTAAGAAGGGCTTACCCTTCCCAAAAAGAAACCCCCAGCACTCAGAGATAAAGAAAAAGCTCTTTAGTCGGCACACAGTTGTATCCCCGAGCTATTACTTAAGGAAGCCCAGCCCTGATCAGAGAATTTCCCATAACAATATTTCACTCAAAACAAACAAACAACAAATCAGAACCACCAACAACAAAAACCTACCTAGGTAGAGAAGAGAGAGTAAACAGGGCTTTAAAAGAATATTTGTGTATCTTAGGGTGATTGTAGCATTATCTCAATAGATAAAACACAGAAGCAACACAACTGTACACCAGCAGATGAGCAGAGAAGAAAACAATGCAGGATGCAGATACAATGAGATATTAATCAGCCTTAAAACTGGGAAAATGTGACATATACTTAATGATATTAGAGAAAGTGAAGTAAGCCAATAAGAGAAAGAAAAATGCTGCATTAACTTACACAGCAACTTAAAATAGTCAAAAGTAAAGAGATAAAAAACAGAATAGGGAGGTGAGGATAATGGAGTAATATTGCTTAATTGGATAGGGATGACAATGTGAATATGCATTCACTCACTGTACATATGAAAATGAGTAAGATGGTTAAGTTGTATGTGTGTATTAACACAATTTAAAGATTGAAGAAAGATTGATTCAAAGATTTTAACAGCAAAAATTCTTTTATGACACATCTGATTAATTAGCCTCTGAATTTGAACAAAAATAAAACTCAAGCCCCAATAAAGCCTGTACTATGCTGGTTTTCATCTGAGGGTGTGGTAAAATGGGTCCTGGAAGCTGCTTTAAAATAACTCAACATTTGAGGTTAAAAGTCACATTTATATTATGCAAGATGGAAATTTGCAGCATCATATTTTTATTCCCTTTGGATAAACATGGAGGGGGGAAAAAGAAAAGGCAAGAACATGTAAATGATCCTCTGTGTGTGTGTGTGTGTGTGTGTGTGTGTGTGTGTGTGTGTGTGTGTTTGTGTGTGTGTGTGTGTGTGTGTGTGTGTGTGAGAGAGAGAGAGAGAGAGAGAGAACGTGCGCGCATGTGTATGCGTGTAACTGCAATGCTTGTTGTTGTTTGTGAAAAGTTCAGTTTGTTTTAAATCTGAGCCTAATTAAGAAGAAAAAGAAAACATGAGAATACCCTATGAACCGCACAGCACAGGCTCAAACTTTTTATCTTTTTTTCCTTTCCATTTTCCCAAATGGTTTCATACAAGAGAAAAGTGAAAACACATACAGAAAATTGTTTTCTTTTTCTCGAGCATAAGTTTTGTCTTTAAATCAGCATTCGAAGAAGTAATTCCCAGAATAAAATCAAAACAAAACAAAATCATGTTATAAATAAAAAATAAAATGAAGCTTTTGTGAGGAGTGATTGAACCAGAGAAAGCAGGGGTGTGGGGGTCTTCTCTTTTTCTTTTACTGCATGTGTTTTCTACTCTATTTCTACCCACCTGACTTTACAGAACCTTTTGATTGTTACTCAGAGTTTTCTTTGGAGTTGGAAACTAGTGAGAACATAGAAATCCACCATGTTCATTTTATCCACAGAGTTTTAAAATTCTCCTTTTGGTCCTTGAACAACTTCTTTCTATCATCTGTGAGTTTGTTAGAACAAATGAAGCCGCTCAATGCATGCCCTCTGACCTTTCTCCATGAAGACAAGAGTGACAATGAATCTCAGACGTGAGGCAATCAAACCCTGCGACCCATGTCTACAGAAACATCTCCTTAAGTCGAAAACATTGTCTAATGAACTGTCAAGACCATACATTCCTTTAGCATATAACAAAATTTAGTCTTGGATGTACTTCGAGAAATAAAGTAACTGAATTTGGCACCTCTTTACAGATATAATAATATTATTCACTCATCCAAAATCCATTCATTGTCTACTATATTGCCAAGTACTCTACTTCTGCCTTCAGGGTGCTCATGATTGAGAGAAAGCTGGGCAGGAAAACCAAAAAGAGGAGAATAAAATAGCTAAATACTTTGAGAGTTCTATGTCCTGACTTTAGTTAGAAGCACCCAGAAGACACATTTAATCCAGCTTGTGGTAAGGCGAAAAGTTCAACAAAACCATTTCAGTAGAGGTTATTGGAAGGATACGTTTTATTATAGTAGACAGGAAAGGGCAAGGAAGACATCCAGGCAGTGAGACACATGGGAAGATATAAGGGCCATCAGAAAAATAAAACTACACTTTCAGATCAGATACCGGTGGGTGGAGAATGAGGGAGAAAGACTTAGCTAAATGGCAGACAAAGTCATGACTTTAAAAACTTCAAGCTCTGTGGCTGTGGAGCTTTGAGGGAAAGGATAACCAGGCTCTATAAGAGGGCAAGCACAGGGAAAATGGCAGGACTCAGGATGCAAGGGAGAGAGGGCTCCTGCTGGG